ATAACAAGTGAATTATTAAAGAAGAAGAAGAATTATTAAGAACAGAACAACAATACACAAAAGGCTTTTTTTCGCGAGTGAATATTGGTGAATACGTCTGACTTGTAGTTACTGTTTCTATCTCTTTTTAATCTTATTTCTAAACTTGTCTAACCTGAACAGATCGCGAAAATGTATATATTCACTATTCAGTGGTGCAGCCTGTCATATGTACTTCGACGACTTTGACATATGGCTTCAAGGCTCCCCATATATGTTTTTAAATTTTTTATATAAAAAAATTAAACTAGAAAGAGGTTAGGTCGGTTTTTTATGTAATTCATACGAAAAAGACCTGAATTACAAATGATTCCACCAATATTATCTTTGGCCTAGGTCACAAAAAAAAGAGGATAATCCTGAAGCAAAGTGGATCGCAAATATGTCCCATATAAAAAATATATATTTGCTGTTTCAACGTCTCCGTTTACTAAAACATCTGTGCCTCTAAAGTTTAAATTTAAACTGACTACTTCCGTATCAGAATCCATCATTTTGCTGAACGATTTTTATCCTCGTTCAAACAAAATGTCAAAAAGAAAAAGGTTAAGTTACCGGCTGACAATACTAGTTGAATATACCAACAGAATATTCAGCTGAAGGGTGAAGAGTTCAGTCATTTGATCTAAACTTGTGACGTCACATAGTAGTTTAAATGACTGACTATTCTCGCAAAAACGTAATATTCACTCATACTACACATACTACAACATACGACTTCACTCGCGAAAAAAAGCCTATAGAAAATCCGAGCGCTCTAGTCGCCATTCCCTTGCTTATTTGTCAGGTTAAAGAATGATCTGAAATTTGCGCATGAGTGTTGTTTACAGGTATAATAAAAAAATTAAAAAAAGATAAAAACAGAAGTTTCGTTAAGTTACAAAGAAAGATTGTTTTGTTGACTGTTGAATGAAACATGAACTTCGTTTCGTTCTCTTCAGTTGTCTTGTGTAGAAAAAAAATTAAAAATGGCAATATGTTAAATAACAATTTAGATATGGTAGATGTAGATGAACATTATTATTATTATAGTCGTACATCATACAGGTACCACTTTTCACATTTATTTGTAGAATTATTGCATGTAGATTGTAGATATTTTTTTTCGATACGGTCTAATTAATTTATTAGTGATAGAGGTTCGATTAGATCGGTTTCGACTAGGTGCTAGATAATTGTAGGTGCTTACGAAAATAGCCAATTTAAAAGAGCACTCTGACCAGAGTAAGCAGCGCTCGGATGAGTTGGTCAGATATATTTTTCGTAAACCCCTATTGTGTGGCGTCGTGCTAGTTTTGCATTGTTTTTACTGATTTGTTATTTACAAAAACTATTAATTATTTAGTATAGTGGCACCCTACCAAATCTTCACAAAATTATGTTTACCCCCCTATTTTCGATGCTGCGGTCGAACCTAGTTTTTGAGAAAAAAAATTTTCAAAATTCTAACCTGGATATTTCAGATAACACTACGTAGAACTCTGTATGTTTTATATAGCTTTCAGAACATCTGTTATGAACAATTAACACTGTTCATGAAACACATTTTCGCAAATTTCAAGTTAAAAAACATGTATTTAATAAATACAAATTTTGTAGTTTGAATCCGCCATTTGTAAATCGTGATGACAACATTTAGTGATGGGAGACTTCGAGTGAAAAATCGAGTGGTACTCGATTATTGAGATCACTCGAGATATCTCGAGATGTTTACTCCCATCACTCGAGTGATTATTACCCTAAGGTTGCACCCCAAAATGTTAGTGCATACTGCAAATAGTCACTGATTGCGTAACCTTTTTTTTAGAATAAAACGAAAAAGTGGTTAGGTTTTGAAGTGCGTGAGCTTTTTGGTTTT